GGGCGGGCGGGTGTCTGGAGGGGCTGTGGGGTGTCTGGGGGGGTCTTTGGGTAGACCCAAAGAGCCGAACACGCCATGCACCAACCGCCAAGGACTGGTTGCTTGCGACCCAGGTTTTGTGGTGTGCTGACTAGAGCAAAAATTGAGTAAAATGAACATAAATAAGTGCTTCGGGCCTGCGGGAAAGGCAGCGGGGACTGCAGAGGGCCAAGGGAAGCTCTGCAGCTCCTGGTGTCGAGGGGATGCGGTGCACAATTCGGGTTCCCTGGGACACGCTCAAGTCAAACACACAGCAGAAATGTCTTTTTTTTGTTCAGGGCTTTTGTTGTTGTTGCTGTTGTTTTTATTTTCAGTTTCGTGGGGTTTTTTGTCTTGCACAATTGTCCCTTGAACTTTCCCCCCCTCCCTGTGGGCTGCGCTGCTTGGTCAGCCTTTTGGGGAATGTCCTTGAGGGGGGATTAATCATTGACTTGACAGCTGACAGAAGACAAAATTAAAAATATATTACGCATCGTGGTACCAGGAAAGGTAGAGCTACAGGGACTGTCTTCTGGAGGGCTCGGGGGCTCCATGTCTCTGGGTGGGCACAGCAGGGCACAGCAGCCCACTGGCTGCCTGGGTCCACAGTGCAGAGCCCAACTTTTAGGTGACCTAAAAAGGACCAGTTTAGCCCGTTGCTGAGCCACCAGCTCAAGATCTTTTTTAAATTGATCCTGATTTTGCCAATTTGAAAGAACCGAAGCGTGGTTGCTCTGTGGCTGAAGAGGGATCCACATGGCGATGGCAAACTCCTGTGTGGGTTCTCCAGTGGCTGGTGAAGGTTGAGCTTGCACTCGTGTCTCTATCTGGAGTCATTGCCAAATTTGCTCTCCTCTTCCTGGCTGGTTGTGCTGTGGGTTTTTTTTCATAACACCTGTAGAAACCTGGTATTTTGGATATTCCTAGTCCTGGTATCTTGGATATTCCCAACTCTCTGGCAAATCTGACCATTTGGATAAAATTTAAGCATGAAGAGCAAGGTAGAACAGACAGGAGATAGGTGTAAACATAAACACATCATGACAGACTCGTCACTTACAAAACCAAGTTAAAATCTTGCCTCTTGAGATCATGTTTTTGGACTTGGGCTGAACAGAGAGTGTGCTGAGGCTGGGCTTTTGGATCGCTGTAACTGCGTGAAGAAAAACATGAGGTGGAACTACGATTAAAGATTATAGCAAGCACTGTAATTACCGAGCTATCTCAGGCCCTTGAATCAAGCCTGCTGGTAACAGGGGACTTTTTGCCAATACCCGTTGCATTTTGATCTGCTGCTGTGCATTGTACCATTTCAGTCCTTCTGAATATTTCACCAGGGAATCTGAGCAAAAAGCAGAAAAGGCTGCAGGTGGCTGAATTCCCCTGCAAACCACAGTCCCAGCTCACTCCAGGTCCGGGGATTCCTATAGCACAGGAGAGTCTTCTCTCTCTTGCACTAACATTTTATTCTCCTCTCGTATTAGTGATTTTCTGTCTTTGTGTTGATGGTTTAATTCTGTTAGGTGGGCCTGGCACCATGTTCTTAAACCAGAGTGGCTCTGATGAAACTTCATCTCCTCTTGCAACTGTTTGAAAGCCAAGCACTTCCTTACACACCCAATTGTGGAGAAATGCTAGGCTTGTGAGGTCATTATGCCCTGGACAGAGCAAGGACGAGAGCTGAGCAACATGTTCATCTGGCAAAAAAACAGCAAAAGGATAAGAATGCTGGTATCTGCTCCTCTCTTCTACAAACCTTGTGAGGGGAGATAACAGCTGAAAGAGAGAGCCTTGTGGCAGCAAGATAGCTCTGTTTTGGGTAAAGAGTGCAGCAAAACTGTTTCAGCACAAAGCTCTGAAGGTTACGATGCCTGGAGTGAAACTTTTGCTTAATTATCTAGAAAATTAATATTACAGTTAAGACCCCTGCTTATGTTAATGAGAATTACAGCGATCATGTTATACATACACGATTATGTTACTCCTATGAGAGGGGAAACAAAGAATTAGAGAATAGAGAGGAGAATAAGGGGTAAAATCAGGAGAAAGGGACTGAAGATCTAGAAGAGACGGTTGATGGGCTGTGCTCCTCTTCCTCCACCCAAGGCAGGGACGCCTCCTCAGTAAGAATTGTGCTTTCACCCCTGGCAAAGAATACCCGGGAACACTTGGCCAGCACTATTATAATGTATTAGCGCTGTTGCAGTAAGCGCATTTATCAACAGCAACTCCACACCTGTTATATCTGTTGCCTTAATAAATTACTTGTATTTGCAACTTTGCAAAACTGTTTCAGTGAAAGTCCCCGAGAGGACTCTGACAGGCAAACATCACATCCTTACTCTTAACGTGACACCAGTGCTTACTAGAAGGAGGAAAATTGCCTATCGCTAAATTTTCTTACATCATCCACGGGGTTTCTGCAGGGCCTAACGCATTTGCCTTAACAAGAGGTTTTTAATCAATAAAAAGACAGGCTGCCTTCTCTTTTCATCTTTATTTAGGAAAATATCAATCAAAGCCTTTAGATGCTTCAAAAAAATAGCGATTTAAGGTCTCCTAAACTTCGTTGTGTCAAGGAAGAAAGTCAAATGGTGGTTCTCAGGGCACTGGAAATATTTTAGCGTTAGTCAATAACCCCCCTCGGACACCAGCTCCTGAAAACGTGAAGAGGCAGGTGCTACTGAAAATAGTGACTCTTTCTTCTTCTTCTTTCTTTGTTGGTCAGTCCAGGTATGTGAGTGTTTTGCCAGGAACGCTCCTGTGCGGCAGCTGAGTCACAGTAACCAAGCACGTGCACTCACAGACCTGCAGCCGCCCGGGGCTCACGAACTTTGCGCTGATGCCCTTTACCTCCCATCTGCCAACAGCCCAGTAACCCGCTGCGCTTTGCCAGCGCGTGTGGATGTGAGCTGTTTAACTCGAGATTCGAAGCCTTCTCCTCTTTGTGATGTCTCCAGGCCTCGTCCTACAGAAGGACCAGTATAACTCAAGCCCTCCCTTTCCTTAAGCACCCTTTAAGCAGACAACAAACCTGCTTCCCTGAGCTATTTTCAGTGATGACACCTGGCGTGAACGGATAACGCACAGCCACATACTGACTCACAGTCTTCAAGTGTTTCCCTGTGCAGTGACTTGACTTTGCTGTTTGCCATGGCAAAAAGCAGGATGTCGCAAACCCGCCTTCTAAATTTACTTTTAACGTATTTGCGGCAAATGGCAGTGTAAGGACCAGCGTGTGGCTGGTCCCAGAGCTGCTGTCAGGACGTGCTCTTTCCCATCCGCTCCTGCCTCTCACTGAAGTATTTCCTCTGCTCCTGTATGGCTTGTTCCAGCAAGGGCACATTCATCCCTTCCACGCAGGTCAATATTCGTGCCTTTACCACGGGACCCTCACCTGGGAATACAAACAGGAAATTTCTGTAGAAAGAAAAACAAGAGCAGCTCGGAGGCAAGCAGAGAGGTTCCCTCAGGCACCATACGGCCCCAGCTGGCCAAATAAGCATATCCTGAGAACTTGCAGGAGATCGGACCGGCTGCGTGCCTCCGCCAACGCGAGCAGCGGGCCTGGGAGCAGGTTAATTCAGGGCCTCTGCCCTGTTGGCCACCAAATGCTGGTGACTGACACTGCGCTCTCCTTGCCCTGGGGAACGCTGAGGCCAGGACATGTCGGTGCCAGCGCCTGCCATGCAGCACCTGTCTACTTTGTGGCTGGATGAAGTTTGGTTTTCCCGGTGTAAAAAACACCAGGGATGGGTCTAAGCTCATTTCGGAATATCTCTGTGCGGCCAAGAAGAGGACAGAACAAAGCTGGGCCTAGAAAGTGCTCAATGCTGACTATAACCAACAGTTCACTGGTGGCATTCAAAGGGTAACACGGAGCTGCACAGAAGGGGGCCAAACCTTGGTGACGCAGCCACCACCTCAGCCTGCTCCCCTTCCACCCCTGCAAAACGGGGCCAACTCATTCCTAAGCTGCGATGACCAAAATAACCTGTGATTCCAAAGGAATTTTGCAGCAGTGGCTTAGCAGGTCACTCACTAGATGCCACGTGCAGTGTGGCTTTCCACATGCTGCTGAGGATTTCAACGGCATGAATGCAAATGCTCGTTATCAGGCGTGGCCAAGACAATGCTTGAGATTTGCTCCACAAATCCCACGGATCAGCCAAAAACAACTCCCCACGCAAAGCACCGTGCGGCTGGAGTAACGCCCAGGGCACCCAGGAAAGGACACATGACAGAGCCTGCCTGCGTTCCTCACGCCCTGTGTTATATCCCTGTGGCAGGGATTTAATTAGAGACTTTCAAGGACAGCAAAGACCAACCCAGCCAGCTCACCACGAGGGATTGCTGCAATCGGCCCCGTTTGGAGCAAAGGCGATGTGGTGGCTGGCAATGATGCCAGAAGGCTTCAGCACAAGTTTCACAAGCTCAGCGGTGCCACCGAGGCGCTTCTTGTTTCTAATGAAATCCGTGCCAGAGCACCAGATTTTCACCGAGATAAGGGTGGCTCTTCTCACAGTCAATGGGGAAAGACAGGCTGCTCCTGCCCTGAATCACACGCTCGTGTGACAGGAGGCAGCCACACGAGACGAGGCTGCCTTGCCCCACGCCAACCTCAGTGACCATGTGTCTCACCGTGCGCCCAGGGAGCCACGAAGGAGCTGATGAACCACGAACAGCAGCAAAGGGCACTGGTTCCTGGAGCATTTACCTTCCCTGT